GTTTGTATTAGTTATAGTTGCAATTTGGACCATTGTTTTGCGGCACGAAACATGGACGACAGAATACCTGAAGTGGTGATCGTTGTTAAAATAAACAAGAACGAGTAGTCGTCAAACCTCGTTTGCTTCCTTCGTAGGGGAAGGGCTCTGGCTGATTTACCTACGCCATTAACCCTATGGAAAAGCATTGCCGCACCCGATACCTCCTTCTGGGTTCCTATAATTATGAAATATTCTTTTCAACGCCTGATAACTCCTATCCCATGCATGTGGCATACATCCGGCCCGAGATGCCTTCAACGAAAGCAGCACTGATCCTCGTCCCCTCATTTCTCCTCCTTGGCTGCCCAAGCCCCCTTCCGGTTCCCCTTCACCATTCAGTCCGATGACCGCGTGTAGGCCATGAAAGCAAGCCCCATCAATTGTTAGTCCGCCCTCTTCCTAGTCTTAAGATATTCACGGAGCTGTTCTATCTTGCTCGCGTAAAACATACGTTTCTTGTCGTTCTTCCACACTAACACGCCAATCTCCTCAGCGTGTGCGCTCAGCGAAACATATTCCTCCAGCGAGTCAAAATCCTTGAATAGGAACCCCGCCGATGTCCGCATCCGCTCGTTCTCGAGCTGCCACAGCCGGATCTGGTCGACTACTGTGGGTGGGAGCACAGGGCGGCCTGCGGCGGCTGCGGCCCGCACCATTTGCTCGTGGGCGTGGGACGCGAGGTAGCTGATGATTTGGTCGGCTGTGATGCCGAAGTCGATGGCGCGGCGGATGGAGTCGCGCGTGAGGCGGCCGGTGGCCATTCCCGCGAAGCGCATGTTGAGTTGGGTGAAGAGGGCGAGCACGGCGAGTTGGAGGGGGGAGGAGGTGTAGGCGTAGAGGCGGTAATTGGTTTCGATGATGACGGTGCCTTTGGAGGCGGCCGAGGTGTCCGGGGTCGTGCCGATGCTGGAGGCGTCGTTGGGGTTGTTGGCGGTTGCGGCTGCGAAGCCTGAGGAGACGGAGCGGAGGGCGGAGGCGGAGCTGGTGAGGGTGGTTGCGAGGCGGGTGGGGAAGTATTGGCGAGTGTCTTCGCGGGGGATGTAGATGAGGCCGAAGTCGACGAGGGAGGGGAGCATGTTGCGGCGGGTTTCGGTGAGTGCGTCGGTGTCGTAGGCGCGGCCGAGTTCGAGGGAGGCGAGCATGAAGAGGAAGGAGAGCATGTCGATGCTGTCGTTTTTGTTGTTGGCGCCTTTTGCGCCGCTGCCGCCGTCGGCTTTGGCGGGGTCTGCGGCTTCGAGCCAGAGGAGGAGGAGTGTCCAAACTTGGGCGTTGGCTTCTTGGAGTAAGAAGGTGAAGCCGGCTTGTGTGATGCCTACGCCGGAGTGGGTGTCGTGTCGGCGCTCGACTAGTCGGCCGATGGATAGGAGGTTCTTGACGCTGGTTTTGGGACCAGCACCTCCGCCACTACCACCTCCTCCGCTCCCTGGGACTGCAGGTACGCTGCTGACGACGTAGTGCAGAATATCCTCCCACTTCTTCCGTGCATAATTGTCGAGGTAGGCAACGTCAATCCGGGGGTCGACGGGCAGGGTGCTGGGCACGCCGAAACTATTGTGTGAACCTCCCCCTTCGAGGGCGAGGCGCAGGCTGTTCTTGAAGTTTGTCGTGAGCTGCATATCCTGCGGCCGGTCTTTACCGGAAGGTGTTATCTGAACTATGTATAACGACCTCAGAATGCTCAGAGCGCGGTCGCGGTGCATCTTCGCCTCGTTACGGACCCAGACATCGAGCTCGGAGAGTGGTAGCGGCGATGGCATGTAGAGCAGTGCTTGCACGAACACTTTCGCCAACGGCGGCAACATACGCCGGAAGATGGCGAATGCGGTCGAGGGCTCCTGGTACAGCTTTCGAAGTGTGGTGCCCGGCAGCTTCTCCAGGTACTCGGAGAGCTGGTACGATGGCTGGCCGGTCGACATTTTGACCCGTATCTATGACCTGTGTCTTTTCCTCCTCTTTTTATCCTTTTTCTTCTTCTTCGCGCCTTGCTCTCGTGCGTCGCGATGCGGGCGAAAACCGGAAGGATGGTTCGTTCTATCGCATTATCAATGCTGGTAATGACCGCGCTGCCAAAAGTTGTGATGTGGCAGCGCGATGAATTAGTTATCGGGCTATTCGGAGGCGTGGTGAGGTGAGTGAGGATAAAGTCAAGACCTTCAACTTCCATTCAGCCTCGCTGAAGCCTGGAACAGAAGCCTTGTCGTCCTGCACAGAGCGCCAAGATCGGATGTTCCAGAGGCTTGGCAGACCTTGGGCCCCTGCATGTGGCATTCCAGGGACAAGGGCACAGCGGCATGAATGGGGGTTGCAGTGGGGCCGGATATTGAACTCCTCGGCTTTCCATGTCTTGGGGAAGTCAACTCAACTATTCTTTTGAGGGCATATTGGTTCTTGCGTTCTTGTTACTTGTTAAAGAAGTCCGAGAAATATGGCAACCAAATTAGGCCCGAAGCTCAAACCCCACCAGTTTGTCCGGACTGTAAGTTTAACCCAGACTTTCTGAAATTACTTTACTTCTAACTGCCCTGTCTGTAGGTCCTGAAGTCCTTCATGCTTGAGTCGGGACTTGAGCCACGGTAAAGCAATGCCCCTTTTTAATCTTACCAGCACAGCAGCTAGACTCATGTTTCTAAACCCTCCTCTTTCTTAGCTTATTTCAGAACACTGTTTGTCACACCCCTTGAAGCCGATGGATAAACCCAGAAGACTCCTAACCATCCCCACTTAGCTCCGAATCACCAAAGCACAAGAAGGCGTCGTTGACTTTGAGTTAAAAATCGAGAAAGACCACACCGTATGTGTAGTATCGGCGTTGCCAACTAAAGAATAAACCGTTAAACCTTTCTTTAGAACCGTCTCAAGATCATCCACGGTGGTACTATCGCTAGTCTTGTTGACCTCGGCGGCTCCCTAGCAGTGGCTTCCAAGGGATATTATGCCACGGGTGTAACCACAGATCTCAATGGTTAGTCACCATGGCATAATGCTAAACCTTGGAAGTGGTGAAGTTAACAAACTTTTTAAATAGTCACCTACATTAGCAGCGGGGGCAAGGTGGGGGACACACTGACGGGGACAGCGGTCTGTGACCGGAGTAAGTAAACTTCTGGACCACACCCTCACTTCTGGGGGTAAATAGACTGACTATTGTGATCGTAGTGGGGAAGACACTCGCCTACACCACAGTGATGTTCTGGGACAAGCAGATGAACCTGGTCGCCAGGGGTAGCCATACTAAGTGAGTCCTTTCAACCTCCTTTTGCTAATATGTTGACATGTCTAATTTGACTCTTCTGTAGATTTGTTGCACAAGCCGTTGCTTCAAGTACACCTTTCACTGTCCCTGAAGGAGCACCCGTGGCGGATGAGGAGGAATAGAATTGAGCACAGCAACATGTTGCCTCGCAGTCCAGCATTAGCAGGCGCGGTGGTTTCACAAATTTCCATTGAGTAGCGCCTTGAGACTTTTTAGTTCGTGACACGAAAGCGAGATGTTTTGTGCTAGACTCATCCCTTCGTCCCCGAACTTCTCACTTGCCTTCCTCTCCGAAAAGGTGTATCTGCAGCACCAACGCTCCCGTCGCCCAGACCCGCCAGTGGGAACATCCCCCAACCTATTTGGTTGTTTGGTAGTCACAACTCAAGGTGTCGCCATTGTTGGTGCAGTGAATGGGCTTGCGTCCGGTTTCCTCCTCCTCCACTTCTAACAGCTTGAGACCTTCCGTGCCGCCCGAGATACCGCCATCAACTTCGTATATGGCACTGTGGAACTGGATGTTGCCAAAATCCACCAACGGAAGTCGATCCGTGTTCCAAAAGTCCTCGACAATGAACTCGGTTGTGAACCCGCAAAGCAACACGTGTGTGTTGTTCGTTTCCATCCTACTCTCCGCCCCGGTCCTAAAGTTCCCGACTGTGAACAAATACGTCGACATATCCCTTGGATTTGTACCAACGGACATCCAGACTGTATCGCCAGCAGCAATATCGGTGTCACGAAGATACATGTGGTTGCCAGGGTACCACTGGAACCTATCGCCCCAACCCCGTGTTAACAATCCCAGTTGAACTAACCAACTTCAAAATGGAGGAGAGGAATTCTTGCACCCACCAAGGGATATAAGTTGCCACGCCATTCTTGAGGTACATATCAACTCCAGTCTGCAGCATATCTGAGGGGCAGTAATCTGTGCCATCAATACCCACCCACGCTGAGAGGCCGTACAAGGTACTGGAGTCACCACCCTCTGGCAGGCGGAGTTCCGGAATGGTCATGTCGACATGAACGGAGTAAAAGACCGCATTTGTGGCAACACCGCCGGACCAGTTCTGAGTCCCATGGACAGCGGCGGGGCCCCGAGAAGTCCGCTCAGTCACGCCGTTCTCGACGAGGTCGAGGATCCGGGAGTGGCTAGTGGTTTTGGAGGGCTCGGCGGCAAGAGCAAGAGCCGTGACCGGGTTGAGAAGAGTAGCTAATAAGATTGAAAGGAGAGTCATCGTGAGGTTGTGAAAGTAAAGCTTTGAAAGATGATCTTTGTTGGCGAACTCGTGATGGAGGTTGAGGTGGAAGTCAAGACAAACTCAAGAGGACGATGGAGTGGGAAGAGAAAAAAGAGAGAACCGGGGTTGGGATGCATTTCAAAAACCGTGCCAAATTTTCTCTAGAAGATTGAAGTGAATAGAAGAGGAAGGTACGGCAGATGCTGCTAACATATGGGACGGAACGAACACACCATACTGTTGTTCAAGAGACCGATTTCCCCTTTAGGAAATTTGAGCATGCCATTCCGCTTCGCCTCTAGGGGGGACCATGACAAGATGTTTACAACCATATTAGCTGGACAAAACAGAAACTGCCTTGGTACAAATAAATTTGTACTCTTGGTGGTCTAAAATAGAAAAGCTTTGGTTAGCAAAAAGAAGAAATTCGGAATGTGAAAGTCGACCAAAATGGCAAAAGATGGATGCACCCGGGATTGAACCGGGGACCTTTCACAAGGCGCATCAGAATGTCAAATGCGAAGCGAAAATCATACCACTAGACCATGCACCCTAGCCAATGATGGGACACGCTTCGTAACCAAACACTGATATAGGGAGTATTGTGAGGTCGAATAACCATTCTTGACCGCGGCCTGCCAAATCTAAACCCATCATCACGATTCCCTGGTTTCCTAGTCTCAGCTAAAAGTTTCATCATGGTGTTTCGAATTCAGTTTGCTTATTCCTAGTTGGACATCCGTTCCGTCCCTCCCAACGCAGTTGGCATGGACGCCGTTCAGGCACGTGCTAGGAAAATTGGGTTGGGGGCCTAAAAATTCCACTGTTCTTTTTTCGGTATTGCCAGAGCAACCCTTGGCTAAATTAGTTCGTCCCAACCAGGCAAGGTGTCGAAAATGCAGTCAACGTCTTCGGGCGCCACTAGTGTATGTACATAGTAGCCCTTTGGAACTCATGACAGGAAGCTCTAGACAAAACTAACGTAGTGTAACTACACTACATGCACTAACAAGTCAATAATGGAGGATGGAGGAAGACAGGTGCCTCGATGATGGCGGCTCAATTCTCCTTTCCATCGTGGCTGAGCGAGTCCGTGGCGGTGGTTCGCGCTGCAGGAAGAGGCTCTTGGCGATGCACAGCCCTGGGAGATCCTTGCAGCCCGTCACACAAGCTGAAGCTGGCCCCCCGGTCCTCTTCGAGATTTGGGTATAGCGGCGTGACATTCTGCCGGTCTTACCCACGTTTGGCGACGACGATGTCTCCGCGTCGGCTCTGGTTCAATGGCAGCGCAGGGCTGTTCTGGCCACAGCCATGAAGAAACGGTCTTGGGGCACCATTGGGCAAGCGTCTCTTCTACCACGCGGCGTCCCACCACATACCGTTTGTCCCTGTCGTGTCGCTTCGTGCTCACAGCTTCAACTTCCCCCATTTCCCTTCCTGACATCTCGCCAAGGAAACCCTCTCCAGAAGATTGTTGTTGTTGTTCGACCGGCTCTAACCTTAAACTTCGCGCCTGGACACCCTCGGCACAACAGGGCTGGAATTGAGCGACCATGTCTTCGACGACAGACATCGGAGGCCTTACTATCGGCTACACGGCCATAGCGGCGATATGGATCACGCCGTTGTCCATTCTCTGGTTCATTACCTTTTGTCTTGTCCGGAGGAAGCATGACCCCGCTCGGGTCGGCATCACTTGGTTGAAAGTGCTGTATCCCATCTGGATTTTGTAAGGCGTTCCCTCCCTGTGTGCTTTGTTTTGTTGGCTGGGGATGAATGACTAACCAAACACGTTGCGCATACACGTAGAGCACTCCTCTTTTACCTTGTGACTGGTGGCTTGTCGCTATGGAGCTGGTACGGCGACAGCTACTATTACAGCTCGAGCAGTGAAAGGGCCATCAACGAGGCCTCGAACTACATTGGCACTACTGGCTACTTTTTCAACAACATAGCCAACATCTTGCTCCCCATTACTTTTGTCGAGCTCATCGGTGGCTTCTTCTTGTGTTGGAAGGGGCCCGCTGAACCCAACCCGATCAAGAAGTTCAGTCGCCTTGCCATCCTGGCCTGGTCTGGGTTGTTGCTCGCCCTCACCATTGCCCTGTTTGGCGTCCAATTGTCGTTCAACGTCAAGTACACGCACGTGAGCTCGTCAAGCTTCAGCAGCTTCTACAGCGAGGAGACGAAGTTGGTTCAATTAGATGGCGCCGTCACCATCCTCTTTTGGCTCACCACGCTCCCGCTGGTTGGGCTTGCTGCATTCCTCGTCCATAAGATGAAGAACCTTCCCTTCCTCCGTGGGGTACGTCTTCCTTGCACCTACCTCCCCGTGATGTGGCCCGTCTCGCACTGATGACGATGATGCTAACAAGCAATGACATAGGGTTCCTTCCTCGTCCTCGCCTGCACCATCCTCAACTTTATCCGACACACGATTGGCATGGCCATCTTCGTGCACGGGACCCTCGGGAATATTCCGCTCGCTGTCAGAACTGGATCTCTCAACTCGCGGGCCGTCTCCTTGGTTGTCGACCCTTTCTTCAACGACATGCTCATGTTCGTGATCCTGGTCATTCTCTTCGCCCTCGGTCTCCGCAAGCGCAAGGGGCTCTGGCTGCAGCCGCCGCAAGAGTTTGCCTACCCGGCCGTCGCCTATGTTCCCGCGACTCTGTACGCACCGGGCCAAGTCCCGCCGGGTCAGCAGCAGCCGTACCCGGCACAGTACCAGCAACAGCCTCCTCAGATGCAGCAGCAGCAGAACCTCCCAGCGTATCTGCAGGTCGCCCAGCAGCAGCAACAGCAGCATCCCCAACAACAACAATACCAGCAGCCCCAACAACCTCAGCAGGGCTCCGCTCCTCAAGACCAACACTACTACCTGCCCCAGGGTCAGGAACACCAGCAGCCGCAGCAGCAGCCGCAGCCGCAGCAGCAGCCGCAGCCGCAGCACGTACCTGAACTACAGCAGCATGCGCCGGAGCAGCAACAGCCGCCGGTTACCAGCGCGTAATTTGGCTACCGAAACAAAAACAGAAAACACTAAAGAAAGCAGCGTTATTGGGGACGATGGTTATGGGACGAAGCGTCATATTCAGCATCTCAGCGCAGACTGTTTGTTTAAGGGGCATGTATGGATGATTTGAGGACGGATTTGGCATAGGCTGTCTATGAATGCGTAATGTTGTGCTTGGAATTGGATCGGGTTGTTTTGGTTGGAAATCAACGGGTTAAGGAAAGCGTTGTTTTCTTACTGTTTTCAAGATACCAATGAATCTACTTTTTTACATCACGTTGTTTATATCCTGTCACTCGAATAATTTCCCAATCCTGATCTCTCTTATCCTGCGTGGCAAAGCTGCAACACTTCAACCCACTGTGTGTAAGCCGCACACAGTATTCATGCACCTCCCAGAGCCGCAATGTTATCACTTGCATGCCAAGATGGTTTGTCCGCTGCAGATGTAACGACTGGGGTGTCGAGGTACCCAGCCGATTGGATACCTGTGCCCGAGAGGAAAAAGCAAGGAAATGCTTCGAGCTTGAAGGAGCAGGTGACTTTGAGTTTGCTTTCCTCAACTATACTTTCGATTTCGAACGAAGGTCTTCTGGTAATAACAGTCGTTCATATCCAACCACCAGATCCCACGCCCTTCTCCAGTAAACTCCACCACCAACCACCACAAACCACCCACACACACCCCCAACTCACGGCTTCCACCGAAAAGCAGGATGTTTCCAATCCAACCCCTCCACCTCCTCTCTCGTCAGCCCCTCCAACCCCGCAACCCCCGTTTGCCCTCCTTCAAGACCACCGCCGCTGCTGCTGCTCTCCGGTACCCCAGCCTTGTCACGCCTCGCATTATCCCAGGGCATCCACACCAGCGTGGCAACGGAGAGGAGCAGCACAGCACAACAGGCGGCCAGGTTGAGGCCGTTACCGATGTGGTAGTTGGGCTCGTCCCAGGGGAGATAACTCCAGGTGGCGATGAGGCCGCCGATGTTGCCGAACATGACTGGTAATAGGAGTTAGTCGTGAGGGTCCAAGAGGGAAGAAGCGGGTAAAGAGAGGGGGTATGTAACTCACCATTCAACCCAATGGCGCTCGTCCTCGCCGTATCCGAAACCACATTCGCGCTCACCTGCGCATTCGACAACGGCCCAACAGCAAACAACGAACTCGTCAACAAAAACGTCGCGCCATACCTCGCCGACGCATCCGTCGTACCCAAAAACATACTATACCCCACAATCACCAACGGCGCAGTCAACACAATCACAATCTGCCTCTTATCCAACTTCCAACTAATCAGCGGCAACACAACAGTGAAGAACGCCCCTACGACGTAAGGGGGTACGGTGTACAATTGTTGCATGACGGTGGATTTGTCCGGGTAGATGGTGCGGACGATGGTTGGGGCGAAGAAGGCGAGGCCTTGGACGGTGATGTTGTTGAGGAGGAAGAGGAGGGAGGTGGACATGGTGACGGGGCTGGTGATGCCGCGGATGAGTTTGGTGGTGTCCATGCGGTCGAGGACGGCGGTGGTGGTGATGCGCTCGGAGGCGATGCGGGCTGTGGCGAGTTCTTTTTCGGCGGGGGTGAGCCAGCGGGCTGTGGCGGGGCGGTCGGTTAGGGTGAGGAAGCTGCGGGGAGGTTAGCAGTGTGGACGCTGCGCGTGTGGTGTTTGAGACGGGGGGAAATAAAGGGGGGGAAGGGGGAAGAGGAGTGTGACGAACCCGATGACGGATAGACCGATGGTGATAATACCCTCCACAACAAAAATCATCCTCCACCCCGTCACACCGCCCACATGATCCAGACTCAAGATCCCCGAGGCCAACAGCCCGCCAAACGCACCCGCCAAAGGCGCCATGACAATATACAACGACAGCCGAAACGTCAACTCTGCCCTACGATACCACCGCGACATGTAATACGCGATCCCAGGTAGCATGCCTGCCTCAAACACCCCCAACAAGAACCGGACGCCAGCCGCCTGCGAGAAATTGTGCACAAACGCTGTCGCGAGCGAGATGATGCCGAAGGCGAGCGAGATAGCGGGGATGTACCAGCCCGGGCCAATCCACTTGCACATGATGTTGGATGGAATCTCGAACACGATGTAGGAGATGTAGAAGATGGAGAGGAGGGCATTGTAGTCGTAGCCCTGGAGGCCGAGCTCCTTTTCGAAGCCGGCGATTTTGGCATTTCCTAAGGCGGGTGACGGTCAGGACAAATACAAGGGCGGTGAGATGGGGGACCAAGAGAAGTTGGGAATGGAATCTCTTCCTTACCGATATTGGCGCGGTCGATGAAGCAGAAGAGATAGAGCAGCGCAACAGTCGGGACGATGTACAAATCTATCTTCCGACAGAGCCTGGCCTCAGCCTTGGCGTCAAATTGAAAAGGAGCCTCGTTGTTGCCGGACTGATCCGCCGGGTCGCGTGTCGCCCCGGTCACCGCGACGACGGAGTTCGGGTTAGCCGGAGACTCGCCGTGATGGACTCCCGGCTTTGACGAGGAGCCCGGAGACGGGGTTCTCTTTTCGTTAT